GAATACAAAAATTACTAACTAATACTATCTAATATACATATTTTGTAATCTCAGATTAAGATTTTCAGATTAAGATTTTGAAATCAAGGTTTTGAAATCAAGATTTTTGTGTAATATAAATATAAAAGAAGAAATGAAATATAAAAGAAGAGATTTACAAATGTATTAACTAATTAACCTACACAGTATTACTAAATATAGTTATATATATATATATGAAATGTTAAGATTAATGTAAGATATTTGTGATCGAAATTGTAAATTTCAGATTTATATAAAAATAAGAAAAAGAGAATAAATATAATATTTAAGATATAAATATAAGATTTAGAGTAATAATATAAGAGTGAGATAATTATATGATTGGATAAAAATAATGATAAATTGTAAAAATTAAGAAAAAGAAAATTTTGTATAATCAAAGAAAGATTATTGAATTAGAGAAATTTATATTATTACAATAATAATATTATAATTAAACATAAAATTTTCTTTTAACAAAATCTTTTTTAAATAATATTTATCTTTTATTTTTTTAATATATATATTAAAACTTTTATATAAGTGATATTGAATTATATTATACTAAATAAAATACTATTATTAAAATTATTTACTTTGAATTATATTATATTAAACAAAATAATATTATTAAAATTATTAGTTTTGAATTATATAGTATTAAACAAAATAATATTATTGAATTTTAATTAAGTATTTTCTTACTTATAAAAAATAAAGTGAAAAAGTTTTTTTATTTTATTATTATTAATTATATTATTATAGTTCTAAAAAACTTTATACAAGTACAAAAATTAGCATCTTAAAATTTTTTTTATTATTTATTTTATTTTCTTTTAATTTTTATTCTTTTATAACTCTTTTATATCTTATTTTTTATTTTGAATTATTAAAAATTGATATAGAACTTAGATATTTGTCTTTTTTTTTAGTATTTAATTTATTTGTTTATTTTTTTTTAATTCAGATTTAATTTTGTAGCTAATTAATAATTAGTGAACAAACTTGTAACAATAACTATAAACTATAATTGTAATTAGAAATAAAAGCTACAATTTGATATAAAATAATTATTATTCATAATAAATATTCAAAGAGATATATAAGATTTATAATAAAATTTAATAAATATAAAAATAATTGTCACAAATAAACTTTTAATTTCTATTAAATATTAAATATTTTAATTTGCACTTATAAATAAAGATATTTAGAGCTATAAATAAGTATATAATACTATATGCTAATCAAATCAAACTCAAATTAGACTTGAATTCAAGATTTTTTTGAACAGATTCAAACTGAATTATTATACAAGTTCAAGACAAAAAGTGGTTCAAGTGCAATTTGAATTTTGAACCAGACTCAAATTTAAACAAAAATCCAGTTCATAAAGATACTATTAAAAAGTAAGTTAATAAGTTTTTTATAGTTTTAATTATAAAAGTTAATTAATTTGAAAAACTTTTTCATATTGTTGCAATTCTTTTGATTGTTATTATATTAATTATTTGTTGTATTTTTGGTTTGCTTTCAATTGTGTTAATGTTAAATTATTAATTTACTAATGTATTACATGTGTATTTGTGGTACATAACATCTAAAGTCATCAAACATTCATATTTTATAAAATGTATAAACTACTTCACTAAGTACATGTAAATACAAAATTTAATTCGTAAATATGCTCAGAAAAGGTTTATTTATTATATTCATGAATTAAATTTTGTATTTACTTCTTAGTAAAGAAGTTTATACATTTTATAAAATATAAACGTTTGATGTCATGCACCATATTAATATCAGATTTATAATTATTATTATCGTTATTACATGTAATTACATGTAACACTGAAGGTAAAATTCAGTTTATTTAGTCAATTCGTTTTATTGAGGCTGGCACACTATAGCTGTTCTTGAACTAAACTCAATTTATCCAGACGAGTTTACTATAATTGTTTCTGAACCAAATTTGGTTTATTCAAATTTCAATTATTACAATTATCAACGAGATTGATTAATCTTTTTCATGATAATTTCTTTGTATCTAAATTATTCTCTTTCATTTTTTGAAAAATTCATGACCAGTTTTCTCAACAACCGGTTATTCGAATTCAATAATCTATATCTTGTTAAGTTCGTCTCATTGAGACAAATATTTTGGTGAATTTTCATTTGAATGGGACGAGTTATGGCGTTTGAAATTTTTGTTTTACAGATAAGCAACCCCTCCCAAAGTTCGTCCAAAAAGGGTTGCTTATGATAAATGATGAAATTATGACCGTCAAAATTTAATAAATGAAAAACCATTCGATATTTACCAAATGGCTCATACAAAATTGTATCAGCATATTTGCCATTTGTATTATTAGATAATAATAATAATTATAACAAATACACTGCCCTCTCATAAATTATAAATTACACTGCCCTTACAAATATTATACCAATCAAATAAATACAAAGCCCGCTCAAAAATTCCATTGCTCCTACAAATATTACACTGCTCCTACAAATATTACACTGCCCATCTTAAAAATACATTACATCTTTTGGATAGCATATTTAGAAAATTTTATAGTATTCTATGAAAATATGAAAAACAATATAAAAAGAACGAATCTTGCATCCAATTTCTCTCTCCACACTCCGGTTTCTAATCTCTAAATATTCAAAAAGATAGAGTACTAAATTCTCTAAACTAAAACAACGAAAATGACTAAACGTATAAACCTCTTTTTTATTCTTGCCTTGGCCTTTGCTTTCATTTCCACCTCCATAAACGGAGCCTTTATTGTAAAACGAGATCCATATGTGAAGAATGGAATTGCCAAATTTAACAATTTTGGAACATGCCATATAGACGGTTATGTCTCTTTTAACCAATTTGAAGACGACTATGTTAGAATCACTGGTCAATTCTGGAGTGGATTTCCTTCGCTAGATACAAAATCTTATCGATTTCAGATCTGGACGACGCAGAGTACAGGAGGAATTCTTGAAACAAAATTGAAACCACACTTTTATGTTGCCGGTGGTGCCACATCGTGGTTTGAACTCTACAACTCTGATATTACACTTGATGATATTGGTTTTCCGGGAGCTGAAAACGTTGCTAGTCTGTGGCTAAGAATTTATCATAATGCTGATTTATTGTGTGGTAGTCAAATAAAGATAACTTAAATTTTAGTCAATACAAATTTTCATATATGTAATTTAGTTTTTAATATTATGTCCTCTGAACTGTGCTAAATATTTTATAATTGTAAAATAAAATGAAAAATAGTTTTCTATGAATCTTTAGTTTCCAAATAATTTGATATCAAGTGTTATTATCCTTTTAATTTGATTTCAGCCTACTATTCTTTGTGCCTCTTATTTATAATCGAGTGTTTTCTTCCGTTGATAAAATTTGTTGAAAAGCTATTTTGATCTGTCTACGATATTTTCAATAGCTTACTCTTTAATACATAAAATTAATGAAAATATTTTAATAGACATATGGCGCAGGAACTCTTAAATCGACAATATGTTAAAATTTCTATCAACTTCTAAAAAGTGAATCCAAAATTTGACCGGTAATATTATAGAAAAGGACTTTCTTGATAATATTATCGGTCAAATTTTGGATTTACTTAGTTAAGAAGTTGATAGAATTTTTAACATGAAATATATTGTCGATTTAAGAGTTCCTGCGACATAAGTCATTTGTTAAAATTTCGATATGTAGAGAGCAAAGTTCACATCCTATGTTTAATCGTTCGCGCATTTTAAATTCTTGAATAGACGTATTTTATTATTGCATTGATCTTGAAAGACTACTTTAGTTATATCAACTTGTCCTATATTGATTCTCAATGCAAAATGGAGGGTGGAATTCAATTTTCCAAACTATTAATAAATTTACTTCAAATCAAATAGTTGAATCTACATTCTTATTGGTTTGACTATCTGGAAAACAGACGGAAGACTTATAAAAAATGTAATGTCACGTATCTAAAAAACACTACAGAAAGAGATTTTATTTGGAGCTGGTATTCAGACACACTATAATACTGGTTTATTTGTAGAAAAAATTATAACGGTAAAAACTTTTCGCAAATTTTAACGTAAAGTTTTTGTTGACTAAACAATTCATATTACGCAACCAAAGTTTCAAACTAAAGCCTTACTTTTAAGCCTCGTTTATATATACTGTATGCATACGCTATGTGGTGGCTCATCTAGTCGCATCAAAAATATTATTGACTTTAGGACATATGTTTTCTATTATTTGAAAACAAATATTTATTCAGCCCAAGTCATTAAAATTGAGAAAATTTTTCACGTGACTGGATGAGCCACACCAATAACATTAACGCAGCCAAATGACGATCAAAATAATGCGTACGTAATGGTAAGTCAAATATGTTGAAGCCTCTTCTATTAATGTGGATAATTTTATACTTCAGATAGCCAAGTACCGTAATCTTTGACTATAGTATCCACTCTTGTAGAAAGTTTAGACCTTAATTTAACCTCGAAGAACATAAATTTTCGAAGAAATTACACCGTGAATCCTGAATCATTTGTTTTGCAGAAAATAAACGGTTTTACTCAAACAAATTGGACTAAATAGATTAAGGTTTAAATTTTCTCCAAAGGAGGTACTATAGTCACATTTGACAGCAAATTGATAGTGAGATCACCAAAGAATATTATTATTGTACTGTACGTATATCCAAATTCATAAAAGAGACGAAAAATATTTTTATACTAAAACTTATAAAGCACAAATACCAATGAAATATTCCTTATAAAATATATTCTTTTAAATATTTTTTTCTTTACAAAAATTTCAGAGTCTTTAACTGTCAATAACAATGACTAAAATATGATCCTTGATTTCATCGTCTTATTCTTTGTTTTGTTCTTTACTTCCAGCATTCAGTCGACGGAAAATGGCAGTGTTCAATCGACGCTCAATGCTACGGATAATTCAATAATGAATTCATTCATCATTCGATTTTAGTGCTAAATTTGTAACTTATCGATGGAAATAAACGAATACGTACGTATATGTACGTATTGTTTTACCAAAAATGGAAATGCGACTAATTACATGTTCAATATCGATACGTATGTTTGTATGATATGATTATTGTATGTTAGCTAGAGATCAAGCTGTTAATAAAGCAAGGAGAATAAACCGCCTAAACATTAATTATTGAACGAGTGGGAGTAATATTGTATTAGTTAATAAGCCATCGACCGTCGAGCATTTATTAGTGTTGTGTTAGTTAATAAGACATCGAACTTCGCGAATTTCATTTGTGTTGTTAGCTAATAAGCCATCAACCTTTGAGAATTTATTTGTGCTGTTAAATAAATTTCAAAATGTCCATCAAATTTAATTCTTATCCATCTTTTTGGTCTTTTGTTCTATTACAATTATTAGTGCATTCAATAACGATAATAATTATTAGCGCTATTGACCGCCGAGCATTTTATTTGTTTTGTTAGTTAATAAGTCATTGGCCGTCGAGAACTTTAATCGTGTCGTGTTATTTAAGGTGCATAACATCTAAAGCATCAAATGTTTGTATTTTATAAAATGGATAAACTTTACTAAGAAATAAATACAAAATTTAATCCGTGAATATGTTCAGAAAGAGCCTATTCTAACATATTCACAGATTAATTTTGTATTTACTTCTTAGTAAAGAAGTTTATCCATTTTATAAAATACAAACATTTGATGCTTTAGATGTTATACACCATAGCGATTAATCGTTATATCTATGAATTTGTCTTGTCATAGCAGATCTGTCGAAATGTGGCAGGTACAGAGGTCCGTTACAGCGACTTTCACTGTGTACGTATATTTGTTATCGATATTCTGTTTTTATTGAAGCACTTTGGAATGTCATCCGAAGCAAAATGTCGCTGTAAAAAAATCAAATACAGCTAAGTAACTTCTTTCTAGTAAATGTTACCCTGTCATTTTCCACGCGTAACGTTAAGAAATTAATTTACACACACAAATAAAAATTTCTACGAAGATATTGCTCTTCTTTATGCTTAAAAGAAATCGACTAACATATCATTTTTAAATGGTGAGTTCAAAGATGAAATCTATATGTATTTTAAACGACAAAAAGAAAAATTTAATTCAATTATCAAGCCAAATTTCCGACTCTCTTAAGTTGTGCCAATTTTTTAGTAATTCGCACTTCAGAGTAACGTGTCATACGTCTCTTTTCGATTAGCAATCAATCCAACTTTCGTTAAGCAGACACATAACTGTTAGCACAATATTTTGAGATTAGATTGATGCAAGTATTATAATTCGACGATAAATATATACAAGTATATACTTACCACCCACTTTATAACTGCCTCATACATGTACACGAATTTAGGCATATCTGACCAGTCCAGTCTTTTGGCAGAGAATAGCGATCAACTTCGAATAATCTATATACATCTAAAAAGAATATTCAAATATGTTAAGAAATTATACCCCCATTTAGTTTAAAACTTCATATCACAATCCATACCACGAAAGTCGAGCATTGTCAACGATACTTCAGTTTTGTAGGCTGTCAATCCATAAATTCGCAAATCAGCAAACAATTGATGTCGAGCACTTGCTTCCGCAATAATGATATTATTGTAAAGACGGACCATGCTAACAGCATTCTTTATATCGTCTTCATCTTGCTTCTTTCTGGAAGCCCTGGGCCTTGTTCCCTCGCCACAAACGAGAGGATAATTGGTGGCATCGTTCATATAACCTACTCCATCCGCACGAATGCGTGATTTTTCTGTTTGTAAAGGAATCTCTCCGCTATAAAAATCATATAAACACATTGATTAGTATGACCAGAAACGCTATTTACAATATTAAAAATCAATAAAACTACTAGATATAGTTTGTTTTCCCAAATATCCAAAGTGCTGCATCGATTATTAAGAGCATTTAATGAAAATGCCTTGAAGCTAGATACAATTAATAATAAATCATTAAGAAATTAACGTACTGTAATATTATTCTAACTTACAACTGGACCAAAGTCAGTTTAAGCAGTTTTTTGGTTTTTCCAATAATTTCGTGCTCTGTATTACTAACATGTAATGACTCTACTGCAATATCCCATCCTTCCGGACCATGATCAGAATTGAAAGTCTGCCAAAAAGGAATGCAGTTCATCGATGATAAGCACATCAATAGAATCAAAAATTTATTCGTGCAGATTTGTGTCAATAGCCAATGAAAATTTCGAAAATGGACGCAGATCCATAATTGGTCGCACACCAGTGGAGGATTTGAAGATATCTGCTAATTTTTTGTCAATTGTTGACGCAGTAACCGTCTCTTGAAAATGTTAGCAACAAATGATACCTAAATAAATATCAATTAAAAGACTTAGGATTTGATGAACGAATTTGACATTATATTGACGAACAGATTTCACTAGGTGATTTTATTACTATGGGTGGAGAAATACCAGCCTTAACAATTACTGATGCCCTATGGGTAACAAATTGAAATAATCAAGAAGTGAACATCACAAACATGTTCTTCATCATAGTCTTCATCATCTAATCTTCCATTCTCTTTATTATCATCCTCGTTATCTTCGTTATCAATGTGTTCTTTCTCGTGTTCCACTTGCACATTCTGTAATAAAAATTTTCCAAAAATTTTTGATTGCGAGTTCTTTGATTGATTCCAAAGGATACAACCTTATCTTGTTTCGTGCCAAAGCGTTTATTTCTTCATGAAGGTTTATGTTTGTATTGCGTATGGAACGACGAACTAGGATCTACATGCAAACCGGAGTATATAATTTTTGTCAATATTAATTACGTAAATCGAACCATCAAAAGCCAGCATCTAGGCATACCGCAGTTTTCTTCTGCATCCCAGTCTTGTAGCATTTTTGATTCCTATCAAGAAGAGAGCAGGTGTTAGGAGTACTTTACGATATGATATCAAGAATCCTATTCAATTACATACATCCGCAACTTCTTTCATTCTCTCGAGTTTGTCTCATAATTCCCAATCACCTGTTTGACCTATGGCCAAGTTGAACACATTATGATATTTGCTGATTGCTTGAACTCTATGTGATGGGAATATGTGTCTAAAGAATGCGATCGGAGTTGGATCAATGCAGGCCAAAATCCAGTTGATGTGGCTTTCTTGCTGCGTTATACCACGCGAGGACTTCTTTACGTTTTTCATTATAAGCTTGCCAGAGAGTAGAAAATAAAAAAAAATTGTAGTAATTTGTTTTAATTTAACAAATAAGACAATCGTTAAAGCGAGTTGTTCTTCACATAAGACCGGCCATCGCATTTGGATGATGACTTGCCATTTCTGGCTTCCGACAGACTCTCTCTGTCGCAGACGTCTATGTGTTGAACACACTCTCCAATGAATTCCATGCAATGAAGTTAGCCGGCCATCGCATTTGGATGATGACTTGCCATTTCTGGCTTCCGACAGACTCTCTCTGTCGCAGACGCTTACTTTCATGCTTAAACAGAATTATTGGTAAATTTATAAAGAGAAAATTTACTTAACCCACCTAGAAAAAGAATGTATATGTTTTAAGGTTGGCAATAACAATGCAGGAAAGCAATGTAAGTTGGAAATTATAACTCTTTTTTCCTTTCTAATATACGTTTCTTAATACGGCTGTTGTATAGCAATTTTTTTATTAAGAGAGAAGATTTTCGCGAACAAAATTTATGGACCATTCCCTACCTACATGATTGAAAAATACCCAATCAAAATTAACCACATATATCTGTTCGCGTTCTTCTTCTATTCGTTCAATTAATATGGATTACTTATGATGGATTTTATGCGTTCTCTGACATAAATTATGACGATTTGTTTCTATTCGTTCAATTAATATGGCGTTCTCTGACATAAATTATGACGATTTGTTTCTATTCATTCAATTAAAGGTAGTTTTATACGTCATCGAATAAGAATGTAGATCATTCAAGTTTATATGTCACCGTGTCACAAACGGTGATGTGGCTGGGAAATCCGATCGAATCATCTTATTAGTCATGAAACATACACGTGTATTTTCTTAGAGCGTCCTTGTATACGTTCATTATTACTCAAGACTTGAGCAAATATTTAATTCGTGGGGGGTTTCTAAAGCAAACGTGTAATTATTTTGTTGTCTTCAAAGTTTTGATCTCAAAACTTGATTGGTCAATAAAATTTCTTAATTTAATTATTAAGTCTTTGTGCATACATAAATTCTATTAAGAATTATTTCTTAATTTTTTATATAGATAGAGGTGCTTAGATAACTATCAATAATAAATAACAAATAAAAATAATAACATAAAAAAGAAAATGATTAAAGCAATAATTACTCACTTTTTTTTTTCGATGACTAGAATGCTAGAATCAAGCTTATAGTTTTAGGATAAGGGGAACTGGAAAAGGAAATCTTTGAAAGAATCGATGCCATCTACAAGACCAAGAAATGAATACAAAACTAAATAAATTAAGAGATTGAGGAACTAGTAAAAATTTGAAAAGGGTTACAGGACATGAAAAATGATGAAATCACAAAATTCACAGAAAGAAAAAACTTACTAGAAGAAGAGCAGACTCAAGATATTAAAATAAATTCTCTTCCAAATTCTTTTCATAGATCATAGTTTTGTGAGTTTTATGAGCATTACATATGTTGTACTACTTGAGCATTACTTAAGCAAAATGGAATATCAAAATGTACATGATATTGATTACAAAAAAAAGAGAAAAGTGAACTGTTATCCATCAAGAATCATCAAAAATCTGATGTCACAAAAGTGTATAAATAATTCAAGAAGAAAGAAGTAGTTCAAGAAAAATAAGAAAGAAGAAATAAGATAACTAAAGGAAAGTTAGCCTAAGAAAGATATGAAAAAAAAAATAAATATAGTACATAATTAATCTTTAATCAAATGAAGTTTCTCATGATTAAAAATATATATATTAAAAAAAAGAAAGTGAATTATAATTAATATTCAGAGATAAATAAGCATTTAAAAATTATTAAATTTGAACAAATAAATCAATAAGAATTGCATGTTTCATATATAAATTGATGCATAGTTTCTTTTATACAAGATAGAACTTGGTTTTTCTTTTTTTTTTAGTTATCTATTAAAATAATCTAATTATTGAATTTCAAAAAAATTAATTTATTATTTTATTAAAATTATATAGAACTTTATAAAAATAATTAGTTTAGTTCACTTCTCCATTAATTAATAAATTAATAATATTAAAATATTGAATAATATATATTATTATTAATATAATTAAATGAAGTAAATTTTTACAAAAATATATTAAATTATATATTAAAACAAATGATATTATATTATATTTAAAGCAAGTTCTAAATTATATAATAAACTTAAAATGAAACAAATTATAGAACTAGTTTTATAATTATTTTAATAATAAATTTAATTTATAACATTTTAAATAGTTAACAATTTTACTTAAATCTCTATAAACTTTATAAATTATAAAATATATTTATTTATAATATAATATATAATTTATTAATTAATATACTGTATTTATCTCAAAATAAGCATGAGATTTTAAGAAATATTTTGAGTTTTAAATCATGGTTATGCTTATTTTCAGACATATTTTTTTGAATAACAAATGTATTATTAATATAATATATTTGTATTTTCAATATTTTCAATCTATTTTTTATTTATTAGTTTAAATTCATGTTAATTCACATTAATTTTCTCTTTCAAAATGATTGATCCTAATAAAAAATCTTGTAATTCATATACTGTCTCAGAAAAACTTATTATTATTAATTTTGTTATGAAAAAAGACATAATAAATACTGTTACTGTTCTTATAGTGATAGGTATAATGAATACTGTTATTATTCTTATAGTGATAGGTAAAGTATTAACTAATTATAGTAATTAATTAAGAATTGTATAAGAGTAATAATAGTGACTGTGTGTACTTGAGAGTGTTAGATACTAGATGATTGGGAGAGAGTATTAAAAAAGAAATAGATTCAGATACTTTCACTAGTTGGGTAAGTATTTTATAAGTTTAAAAGTATGAATGATTTATTAAGATATAAAAGATGACTTTCACTAGTTGGGTAAGTCAAAGTTAAGTAAATAATAAATCAAAAATAACAACAAGTAAAAGATTAATTAGAAGTATCAGTTAACTTCTATACTTTTATTACTTTCAAAAAGTACTAAGATATCTTTTTAAGACGATATAATTAAAAGATCAAAGGAATGTGAGTTACAACCAATTTTTATTATCTTAATTCATTATTCGATGATGATTCTAAGCTAAGATACATATTACTTATATATCTATTTCTAACTCAAAAAGAACCAATTATAATTTAATACATTCTCATGTATCACAAGTAATACACAATGTTACTCCAATTTGCCAAGTGTTGCACATTTAAATTTGGTGACAACACATGCTAAAATACTAAAATACTATTGGTACTTCTTTGCTATTACACAATAAAATTAATTAAACTTAATATAGCACAAGGTAATACTAATATAACACAAAGAAAAATTAAATATATGAGAAGAATCAATTAAAATATAGAAATAGAACACATGCTAATCTTAATAAAATAATTATATATTACGACATAAATCTAATTTATAATAGAGAACCAATTAAAATATCTTAATAAAAACCAATTAGATTTCTAATAATCATTGTTCTTTGTTAAATACTATCATCATGTAAGAAAAATACTATTATATAGATAAATGTTGAGCTTTTCTTGATAATGACATAATGTGTCAACTAATATCTAAATTATATATAACATGTCACAACGGTGACAATATTATAAACCTTGAGTTAGAGATTTTTAGTCAAGTATTAATTACTCTTTTCTTTTTTATTTGTATTTTTTATTATTTAAAAAATCTTTCATCTGCAACGACATCATCTATAATAACATAATTAATCTCTCATCACTACTCTGCAAAGTTGATTAATATTATTTAGGTTTATAATAAAAAAAGAAGATAATTTTATTAAAAGTTAATCAATAAAAAGAAGATTACTTTATAATTAAATTATTTGAATTAAAAGAAGATTTCTGAATTCATTCTAACAGTTCAACAAAATGAATATGTTATTACCTACATTTATTAAATTAGTCTCCTCCAACTTTAATTAATTTAAACACACAAAAAAAATATTTAATAATTCTCTTACTTAATTGAAACACATAAAGAATGTATGATCTATATTTGAAAGATAATAAACCAACAGAAACAGTAACAGTATTAATTATCCTAAAAAAATATAACTATAATATAAATTAGTTTTATATTTAAATTATTTTCAATTATATACAATGGCTAACAGAATTATAAAAGCACATATGTGAGTTTATTAATAAAATATAATAAAAATTAAAAAATATTTATTAATAAAATTGAAAACTTTTATATTAAGACAAAACTTACAATTTTTATTATAAAATCGCACTGTACTTGAACCATGTTATTAGTTTTAGAATTTATTTTTATCTTTAAATAAAATAAATTAGATATTTTATTCAAATCCAACTACCAATATCAAAATATTATATCTAGTAATGGATTTATAATTGTTGTGAAAAAGTTCACAATTATTTAATTGGCTGTTGCAATTATCTGATTGATTATTGTAACTCGCAATTAATTGAGGTCATTTTTAATTATTTTTTTTTAAAATCAATTATTATGTATAATCATATTTTTATATAATTATTTTTTTCATGGTTTCATCTATATATTATATAGGAAATTTGATCTTAATTACAATCTGAAAACTCTATTCCAATCAAGATCTGAAGTTGTAATATCTAATGCTATTATAATTGTAAATTTCATACAAAAAATATTATTTTAAATTACAAAATAATATTTATTAAAAAATTAACTTAACTTTCATATATAGTGTCGAGATTTTGATTAGAGATCAGAATCGGATTCGATTCACCCAGGTTAGGATTTTTCAAACCAGGTCACCCGAAAAATAATACAAGTGTGCTGATCCGGTTTATATACGTATGCTAACAGTTAAATTTATGTTTTCTGGGTGAAATTTTGCTTAACCCGATTTTCAATCCCTAATTTTTTGATTTGTGAGAAAAACCAATTGGACTATTACATCCAATGTAACTAATAACGCAACGCCGGATCAGCGAATCTACAAAGGGAGAATTCTGTTGACTTATTGACGTCTCCGACACAAATTGACCACCAGGAATTCAGCCAGACTACAGTCGCTGTAGTTGTAATGTCCATAACGTCGAGAGAACTCAGGAAGTAAGCACGAAGATTTATGGCGTTCAGGTCTCTTGAGAGTTTTGATCATTCAAACGTGCGGTACTTGGAAATCTCCACTCACAAAGACTTGGCGCTAGTGTTTCGGGCGAAACTAGTTTCGCCCAATTTGCTTTACAGTGTCTCCAAATTAGGGTTTCGGTTTGTTTCGGACTTATAGGGCGAAACGTTTCGGATTTTGAAAAATAGTTTCGCCCGAAGCACTACTTAGCGCTGCGTAGTCTAACTGATGTGCCTGCATTACTCCATGTTGGAGGTGCTCTTCCAGAAGTTTCATGGTCGCGCGTCCGCAAAAATTTACGAGACCAGCGTGTCTGTTAAAAAAATTGGACAACAAATTATAAGTCTTCGCGAAAAATTCAAAATTCAGAATTCATCATGCTTCACATACCCATTCGTTTGTGCGTATATATTCGATGACCTGTTCTTCGATTTTCAGGTAGTAAACTCGTAAAGAGTTTTCACTTGTTGGTTTAGATTGCTGAAGGCTTCGCAATGTTAAAGGGGAAGAAAGTCTAATCTGACAGGTTCAGGTCCAGATACCGATTCCGACAACGGATTTTATGGCTTAGACGATATCGATCTTAATGCTACGAAGGCCTGCTAGGCGCGAGGTAATTTCGTAATTTTTTTGAGTGCATGTTCGATTGATTACGTATCATTTTCTTCTTTGGTATGCTGGGAAAAGATGCTTTTGTCTTCCGCCAATACACTAAAGAATTTCTTTACTCGTGAAGAAGCTTTTCTCAAGCTTTAGATGCTTGACCTGAGATCTTTGAAATAAACCTTCGGTCTTTTTACTGTTCTCAACAATTCCCGCAGTGAAATTCCTTCTGAAGAGCATAAAAGAATTAAGAGGACGAGGAATCTATTTTTAAGTCTCTTCATTAGAATTTACAGCAGCTATCAATTCATTAGAATTTACAGCAGCTATTAATTCATTAGAATTTACAGCAGCTATCAATTCATTAGAATTTACAGCAGCTATCAATTCATTAGAAATTATAATAGCTATTAATTCTTCATTTGAGTATGTGGTCACACCACGGTTGTTGAAAACAAATGTCCATTTCCGGAGTCATAACCAGGCAAAGGTTTTATACTCTACACTAACCCTTATTCCGAAGTATGATGTACTTGTCATACCAAATAACCCTTTTCCGACCATATCATACTTCTTTGCTTGACACGACAATGCATCTTTCCGTGATACCGCCATTTCCGAGCAAATTTTTTATTATTGGTTTGAATTTTTGACGTTTCATTCGATTGCTTTATATAAGAATCTTCGCTATGATCAAGGGTCAATCTGGAATATACATATGCGTTTACTTCAAGGGGATCTTCTATTGATAAATTAAGCATCAATTATTCCTGAATAAATAAAATGTGTCTTTAGATATGGTCGCTGTCATGTAAAACGACTAAAGGGGAAAGCCGATTTGATAAACCAACGACAAACTTCCTTATGCGAAAAGCTTTTGACATAGCCGATAACAATAGCAAACAAATGCATGTGTCAATTAACATTTTCAAAATGATTACAATAATTACAGCAAATTTGAAGCAACGAGTAATTTACTAGTTTTAGTGGATGATAATTTTCGGTGGAGAGCAATCTATCGAACTCGTCAAAGAAGAGAACAACGCACCTGTCGGACCAAAGTTCATTACCTTTCGGGAAAAAAATCCTTGATATCCTCGAAACTTTCCATAGGGGGTATTAGCGTTTTTTTTTGGAGCCATACTGGTCGAGAAGTTCCCGTCGGAAAGTTCTGCCAAGAGTATTCCAGAAACATTCTTCATCTTTGAAGGAGATACCCTTGAATTCGCGCTATCTGGTAGAAATAAAGAAACCGTTGTGTAATCTCAATTAGTATGATCAAAAAAGCAAAGTTGTAAACGTAGCCTAAGGCATCCAGCTGTTCGATGGCTGTCCACACCCGGGTATATTTTCCGGAGGCTCGCCATCTGTGCACCAATACATATTCACTAGTAAGAATCAACTCAATCAATCCTTTATTCTGCTCTGTTGAGTCCACATAGTAGACGCCAACGCGCCCCATGGCAAGATGGTCTATTGACCGACCATTTAGGTAACGAGAATATGCTGACTAATCTAAAAGAAACATTTGTGAAAATGACGAATGAAATACCATGCTGCCAAGTAACGATTTCTACTATGCTCTTCCGCAGCCTCTCTTTTTCTCTCGCGCCCTAATGTTAGCGAGGCACAAGTTAATAAATGAAAATGATAGCGAGGAAAACAGTGTAGGTTTGATGATGCTTGAATGCAATCGTATTACTTACCAGGTAGCTGAAAAATAATGTGAATATACTTTTTGGAGGGATTTCGGCGTGAGATGTGTTTATGATTCGGTTTCTTCGTTGAGGAGTGTCTACCTTTCAAAATTTGAGTTTGTCTGCATAAGTTCCATATGGTGTAAGCAATCTTAATCATATAATGAATTATTTTAACACTTTACAGAAATGGAATTTAGAAAACTAAACCAGTAATATTGTTCTTTGAGATAAGCTCTATCAGATTTTTACATAAAAAGTTATAAGCATTTAAAGTTAGGCATTTTTTATATGATTAGTCTGAAATTGAAACATATCATGTGATTTGTTATCATATGATCTAATTTAATGAGTTAACATTATTATAATACCAGTTCAAATTATAATTTGACATATGTTATATAATTAACATATGTTACATAATTAACATTATATATTACATAACTTTTCAAATACAAATATATTAAAATCAATATAATCTTTGAGTATAGTATTTATTTTTTTTAGAAAATTATAATTAGAGAAACATCAAAAATTAGTTAATTTTTTTTATTCTCTTTGATTTTACTATATATAAAATTGTAATTTTTAACAAAAGTAATAACAAATATGTTTTTTTGCTTATATCTTAATTAAAAATTTTCTAATTAAAACAAAAAACATATTTGTCATTATTTTTATTAGAAATTATACAATTAATCATATATATATTTATTTATTTTGTATTATATATTGCTTTTTTCTTTGTAATATATACTTGTTAATTTTGTTGATAAGTCATTCAAATTTAGAACAATAAGATTAAAATAACTATACAAAAAAAATTTTGTATAAAATAAAAAAATAGAGAAATAAATAAATTAAAATTCAAATATTATTATTAATTGTATAATTTATAAAATATTTTATAAATTATAATATTATTATAATTTTTTGAACAAAATTATATATTATTATAAGTCAGATTTTATTATTAAATTATTATTAGATAATTATATTTTTTTTATTAAATAATGTTTTAATATATTTTTATTGAATTTTATTATTAAAATTTTATTAAATAAATAAATAATTAATTAATAATTTAAATAATTATTTACAGTAGCTAACAGAATTATGAAATTATATATGTAATTTTATTAATAAAATATAATAAAAATTAAAATTTTTGTTTTATATAAAAGTTTTTAATTTTGTTAATAAATATTTTTAATTTTATATTAAAATAAAAATTATAAGTTATAGTTTAATATATATTTTTTCTGGATTTTCTAGATTTTTTCTGATAAAGTTGTTCTAATTACAAAGTTATTACAAAAATTTTTTATAATTAAAATGTAAATTAATATAAAAAATTTTGGAATAATTTTGTAATTAGAATAATTTTATTAGAAAAATATCTAAAAAATTCAAAAAAATATATATTAAACTATAATTTATAATTTTTATTTTAATATAAAAATAAAAAATATTTATTAATAAAATTAAAAACTATTATATAAAACAAAAATTTTAATTTTTACTATATTTTATTAATAAAATTACACATATAATTTCATAATTCTGTTAACTATTATCATAATCAAACTCCTAGATGTTATTATGATATAGATATTTAATCAATATTTAATTCAATTTTTTCTTATATTGTACTTAATCTTAGTAATTTCAGTTATCCCAAAATTATTACGTTATGCATCTTTTTTTATCTTTGAGATAGACTATTATTATTATCAATAAATTATAATATCTACTTAGTATAAAACAGTTCTAAAACAATATAATACTAATATTCTTTAGTAACCTTGGTTAATATCCAATAGTATGCAATTAATGCAAGTATTATAGTATGAATTTATTTATTAAAATTAATTAATATATAATATTTTATTAACAATAAACAAGAAATAATTTATTGACTAACTAAATTTTGTAGTGATAAATTAATGATTTTTTTAAGAGGTAAAACTCTTCATTATATAGCTAATTATTTTATTATATATGTTACAATTCTTTATAATATATTATATCTCATTATAATATATTATAGAATATTATTATATATTAATAAATATTATTACATATTACTAAATATTATAATATATTGTTACTGTTCTTATATTGATAGGCAAGATATTAACTAATTATAGTAATTAATTAAGAATTGTATAAGAATGATAATAGTGACTGTGTGTATTTGAAAGGGTTGGATACTAGATGGTTGGGAGAGAGTATTAAAAAGAAATAGATTCTGATACTTCCACTAGTTGGATAAATATTTTATAATTCAAAAGTGCGAATGATTTATTAAAATACAAAAGATGACTTCCACTAGTTGGATAAGTCAAAGTTAAGTAATTAATAAATCAAAGATAACAATAAATAAAAGATTAATTAGAAGTATTAGTTAACTTCTATACTTTTATTACTTTCAAAATTATTATTGAGATTCTTGTTAATACGACATAATTAAAAGATCAAAGGAATGTGAGTCACAATCAATTTTTATTTGAAATTATTATCTCAATTCATTATTCAATGATGATTCTAAGCTAAGATACATGTTACTTATATATTTATTTCTAACTCAAAAAGAACCAATTAGAATTTAACACATTCTCATATATTACAAGTAACACACAATGTTACTTTAATTTGCCAAGTGTTACATATTTAAATCTGGTGTCAACACATGCTAAAATACTAAAATACTATTGGTACTCCTTTGCTATTATACAATAAAATTAATTAAACATGAAATAAACTTAATATAACACAAGATAATACCAATATAACACAAAGAAAAATTAAATATTATTGTATCATGACCTTTCATTATAATATTCTATTATTGGATTATAAATATCTCATATATTATTGGATAAAGATTATATCACGTGAAGTGAGCGAATAAGCGAACGAATGAATAACTAAGTGAATGAGTGAACGAACGAGCGAACGAATATTGAACCAATAGAATTTAAGTGATATAGCGTACATGAATTCATATAGCCTAGAAATTATATCTTGGATTTGTATAAAAGCAACATGTATCGTAGTTATTAGAATTAGATATGAACAAGT